CTCTCATTTGCTCGGAGACTTCGGTTTCCTGGCTATCTCGGAATACTCTTCCTACATTCGGCTCTTCTTCCTTGACTTGATACTTCTTGGAACCCTGCTAAAAAAAAATCAGAGGGAAAAAAAACACAATCGATCAAGAGACAAACAGATAACATAAAAATAACCCCGTCGGAACAAAAAGAAAAGTGGATATGCGTTTTACCCATGGCTCAGGTTCGTGTCCCACTGAAGTGCCAACCGAACTCACCAGTTCTTTCGGCTCAAGCCTGAAGCCACATGGGAGTTCGACACTTCAATGACAGGCAGTAGCTCATTAGCTTTTTATGCCATGCTTCCAGCGCCTAAAATGGAAGACTAACGCACGGATCTGAGACGCACTTGGTAATCCTGCGCGGCTGTCAAGTGTGGTATGACGAGCTAAGGTAGATATGACCTGACATGTTAGCATCCTTTGACTATTGCTGTCAAGGCAGGATTCACTCCCTTTGTAGGACCGCATGAGATAAGGAGCTTGACTGAAAGACGCCTGCACATGTGAACTACCACATACCGATAGGCTCTCACTAGACCCTTATCTGCCCACTGCCAGATTTTTTCTGAAACATCACGTCCTAGCTTGGCCTCAGAAGCCCTAGGAATGGCAGGCAGAGGCAAGCAGACTATCTTGCTTGAGCTCACTGTAGGCCAGCTCGGATTCGAATGTCGGATTTATCGATAGATATGACCTGTTGTATCTGGTAGGGAATCCGCATGTTTCGCTGACATCTCGCAGCTCTTTGTTGCATGGTTGTTTGTAGCTCAATTGACTGGCTGGCCTATTTATTCAGGCAGGCTTGATTGTTTGGTCAGGTGCTGTGCAGAGGAGCGGTCGCCCCTACAGTAAGGTCTTTGCATGCTGCCTTCGAAGGCAACAGCTCGCGGTCCCTTGGCAATAGCATGGAGACAGTGTAGCACAGTGACGGTAGAGTAGTCCATTATTAGAAGTCTGCCCTGGTATCAACACTCCTGATGAACAGCCGATATTTGCAACAAGAATGTTTGAACTCTAAGGTAGCCGTCAAGAAACCCCATCATTCTTGTATGTCTTCCGATGCGGGGGCAGCAATCAAATCAGGTAGGTTCAAAACCCGATTCCCCCCGCAGACGGCTATTGAACCTTCCTTCGGGGGGAGTCCGACCGTTTCGTGTATTGATGTCAATACATGCTGGATACCTGCAATTATCATCAACAAGGGCATCTATCCCCGGCCTGAATCGGGGCAGTTATCCATAAATGGTGCTGACCTCGAAGCTGATTATTGCTGCTCTGTGGGATATGGACTGGGGTATGCTGTGAGTGTGTTCCAGAGTTTTCTTTTTTGAGATCGAACTCTTACTCCACACTCAAAGGTCACCACTGTTAGTAGTTGGAAGTATATATTCGCCGGGAACGGCACACTGGTACTTGCTGCGCAGCGCAAAATGCCAGCTTGTCAATGTTAGCTCCTAGCTATACAAGCGTAGGTACTTGCAATAAAGTCATTTATCATTTCAAACAACGTCTGAACATTTTGAGTTTTGTTGCTGTTCAAGTCACTGCTCGGATAGAATACCGTGCTATGTACGGATCGGGTAATACCGCTGTTGCCGTCTCCAACTTACTCTTTCCAAGTTTCTTTTCTCTGCCGCCTCCTGTTTATCATTGAAATCATACACAATGTCGGTTGCAATCCAGCATATGTGATTAGCCCAGCAACTTCATGCGGAGTTTAAGTTGATGACTGCATTTTGAGTTAGGTGCATGCGACTTGGCTCGGCTGGTGGTAGACTGAACTTATTTTTACCTCCCTCCTTCTAGTGTGGGGAAAGCACGAGCGCCTGAGTGAAGCTGGAATCCGATCTCCAACGAACGACAGATAATATGCTGGTAGCACGCCGAAGCCGCTGAACGCCCACCAAACCTTCCTCGCCCTCTGTCTGACACCAATAACTTCTACCCTTCCTCTCTTTTCTGCAGTCAGCAAGCCTGATCATCTCTTTCGCCTTTCTTCAGCCGGTTATCTCTCAGACCTTGACACATCACGTGCATGGTATCTCGGAGTCAAATCGTGACCGTGGCTTTAATAAGCAAGTTTGTGAGATCTTACTAGGATGAAAATGTGGCTTTAGGATCTCAATCGGGTGCAGTGAACCTACGAAGCGACAGTCGCACTCTAGAGAATAGTCGCCATGGAGCAAGACGAACGATCTTCCCCGGTCGCGGGAACTCCAGGGTCGAGAGCCAAAGCTCGTTCAGATCATCTCATGAAACGCGTCTCAAGGGCTTGCTTGCATTGCAGGCAGCGTAAATCGAAATGTGATCTGTAAGTCAACCGTCTGCTGAATATGGTGCTCTAGCCTGCTGCCAGCCATCTTTGATTCTTTTGCCTACATCCATTCCTTCTCATTTCATGGTCTTTACAGATGCTGGCCCTCTCATACATGGATAAGTAACTAAACCGCGCATACAGAGACAGCAGTGGTAGTCCTGGAGTGCCACCATGCCAGCGCTGCATCCGAGATAGGCGTGAATGTGTCCTAGGTAGCTCTAACCGCGGAGGACGGCGCATTCGCAAAAACAAAATGCAGAATTTCACCCCAGACAGCATAACATCGGGCCGAAGAGACTCCATCATAGAACCGGCAAGCCCCTCAAACTCGGAGAACCGCCAGGCACCGGCTTTGGGCTCCTACCCCGGCCCGGTTCAATTTGTCCCCCCTGATCCCCCCACCGCACCTTCGTTGTCCGTGGACGATGAAGACACGGCTTCCATAGGCTCCGTGCCCCGAAACCCCTCTGACGCATGGCAGTGTCTGACTGGCATCGCGAAAAGAGGAACGAATGGTCCCAGCCCGGACTTTGCAGCCGAATCTCTTCGTGTAAGCTCGAATGGCTTCACTGGACTCAGCGCGCTGCGAAATGGCTCCATGGGTGACTTTCCGTCCAACAGTGGCATCAAAGCATATCGCCTAGTACAATCTCGGTCTCTGGATATGGGGACCGTTTGGCAACTAGTGGTTCGATATGCTGAGCACTTCCACCCGTACCTCCCCTTGGTGCCACGGAAGTACTTTGAGCGTAGCGCACTTGATACGTTCGCCAACAATGAGAAGCATCTTCTCACTGCCGTTTTAACCATTGCCTCTAAAGACCTTGTGGAGCGACCAGAGATCCACGAATACTGTTCCAAATACATGCACGAATTGATATCCGGAATCGCCGCCGGCGCCGACTGCGACGTGGAGGCTGTAGAGGCCCTACTTCTCCTAGCGGAATGGGAGCCCCAAGGCCTCCGACCTCGAATAGAGAAGGTTGGTCGCGGAGAGGAGGATCGCGCTGCCTGGATGCATGTTGGCCTCGCTCTGCGGTCTGGGTATTTTCTTGGACTGGACAGATCGTCATTTCGAGGCGATTCATCCGGAGACACAGAGACGGAGGCTCGGAGGCGACTAGCATGGACCAGTTGCTATGTGTCCGATCGATTGATATCTGTGCGCATCGGGCGAGCTTTCTGGTCCCGAGGCCCGGGACCAATGACTGGTCTTGTTAGCCAGGACTTCCCATCGCTTCAACCAGTGAATGATGGCGATGAGGACTATGCGAGGATCTTCCAGGCCACGCTAGATCTTACTCAATTGTATAACAATGTACACGATGTGCTATATTCTGGGATGCGAACGAGCAATCAAATGATGCTTATGGGTGACTATGTGAAGTACGTTGACGACTTCCGACTGGCAATCCTGCGATGGAAATCTCTATGGGGCTCCTTACCATGTGAGTCAAACTCTCTGCATTCATGCCGTCTCACTAATCATCAGCAGGCTCTACGCCAATGAAGGTCACCTTACAACTTTCTTACGAATATCTAAGACTCTACACCAACGCTTTTGCCTTCCAAGCAGCTATTTCCCAGTCATTGGTCTCCAAAATGAACAATGACGACCAGTCTCAAAGAGAGTATTTGCGGACAACTTTCAACAATGTGGCTTCGATGCAGGATGCTCGATTTATCTACGAGTCGATAGATGCTGCCAAAGCTTACCTGACCATACTTGTCGATGTGGTTGACCCCGAGAAACATCTCCATTTTATGCCGCTCCGATTCTATTTATATGGAATTTATTCTGCAGTATTCTTGTACAAGGTAGAAGAACTCCAATCCCCCTCTCCTGCCTCAACTAAATACTGACTGCATGCGGCTAGGCCCGCTCCTTCGGTGTTATGATGTTCTCCGAGGAGATGAAGGTGCGAGATCTTGTCACTCGGACTACACAAGTGTTGAGGCGAGCCAGCGCCGGCCCCGATGATATTGGGTCACGGTATTCACGGCTTCTGGAGCTCTTGTGGCAACAAAAACAAATGCCAGCCACTTCGCCAGCAGGGACGCACCAAGGAAGCGAGGTCCTTATGCCAAACGATAGCAGCGCACTCTCACACCATACATCCGACCCCCATGTGCACTTCAGCCCCGCAAACGACTTCTCGTGGCTGGATCTCGAAGCTGTTGGTGATTACGTCTCTGGTGATCAGATGTCAGGAACGAACACGCTCGCACTGGACACATTCCAGAATCCAGATCTATTCATTCATGGTCAGGATCGACCTCAGACCTGGCAGGTACCAACATGGTCGGGAGACATGAGCAGCAACCTTCTCTTCTAGAAGAGCTGAGGATGGCTGGGTGGCAGTGTAATAAACAGGCACAAGGATGCGACTCGAATACGGTATTATGGGCACAATCATAATCCATTGCTGGAGACCGTGAACCGGGGTATATTTCCGTATTAGGCGTGTACGGGCCGTACCCGATCAAAGAGATGCCTTACGATTTGCAGGGGCAGGCGTAACCACCACCGCCGCCGCGCGCCCGTCCGTTCCCTTCACCCCCACTGTTTAGTGCGGGGTCGTGGGGGGAAAGTGTTTAGTCGGAGTTCACGCCGACCGACCTGAAGAGCACATAGTTACGTCCTACGTATTCAGAAGACTGCCGCTCGGTGCTGTTTCCTCCATAACTCGTCTGCTTCCCTTCACGTAATTACCCACCTTGTGGTTCCGACTCCTTACTCTGCAATATTGTCCACGATTGTTCCGATCAACACCCAAACACCCAGGCTATTACTACCTGCTAGAACCATGTCTCAGCTGAACGAAATCCGCGGCCGACTGGCACTGATAACCGGCGCCTCTGGAGGGTAGGCTTCGCAGAGTCAGCCGATAGTTCCGACTTAAGTGCTGACCACGATATTGTACAGAATTGGTGCAGCTTGCGCACGGCAGCTGGCTGAGCGCGAGGTCCATTTGGCGTTGACGTACTCATCAAACTCGGCTTCAATCACATCTCTCAAAGACGAGCTGTCATCAAAATACCCTACACTCCGGGTTACCATTCACCAGGTCGATGTTGCATCTGCTGAACAAATCGAAGCCATGTTCGTGCAGATTGACGAGCAACATGGACAACGACCTGACATCCTTGTCTCAAATGCCGGCCATGGCAAGCGAATTCGTCAGATTTGGGATATCTCCCTCGAGGACTTCGACTATACGTTGAATGTCAACCTTCGGGCCTCATTCATTTTGTCCAAGGGAGTGGTCGAGCACATGAAGAATCAGCGATGGGGGCGAATCGTGTTCATGTCCTCCATTGCTGGCTACGGAGGAGGTATCAATGGTTGCCGTACGTTATACAGCTATCCGATTACGATTAGCCTCACGCACTTGCTGATTTCGATCCTGCACAGATTATGCTGCCTCGAAGGCTGGCATGACCGGTATGATGAAGAACCTCTCCACTCGGCTAGCGGAGTACAATATTAGCGTGAATGACGTAGCACCTGCAATCATTGGCGACACCGGGATGATCCCTAACGCTGACTCGGTTCCGGAGATTGCTGCAACTATTCCCCTCGGGCGGGTTGGAACTCCAGGGGAGGTTGCGAATGTGGTGACTATGCTCGTGACGACAGGTTACATGACGGGCCAAAGCCTGCTGATCGGAGGCGGGTTGAAATAGAGGCCGTGAGACCTTAGTGAGTCCATCGGTTAGACTTGGAACGGACAGAATAGTAGAATTAACAAGGTTACGACCAGAATCTCTAAATTTACTGTTAGAATGTCTTCATCGTTCTGGATGTAACAGTAGATCTAGAAAAGTGATGGTTGTCCGCTCGGGGCCCGACCCATGCATTCCGACCAAAGGCGGCGGCTTACTGCCGGGCGGTGAGCGACAGACCTACCGGAACCACACTAGTGCTAGGGCTAACATACCCTAGGCGGGTGCCAAGCGCGAAAAAGCGCACCACAACGAGCGAGCCTCGCGATCTCAAGTTTGAGCGGCCGACGACAGAAAAGCGACAAAACTTCTCACCCGACATCGAAGGACCACCCGCTCGGCAACCACATCAAGATGGTGAGTGCTATATTCGAGTTTATTGCTGTTGTTGGAATCGGAGCAGAGGATTTTATCACGAGAATTCGAGAATTACGGTCTCCATAATGTTCACTCCCCGTTGTACCGGAAATCTTCGATCCTGTGTGTGGCTATGGCCCCCCGAATGAAGGCCTACCGTATATCGAATTTTCACGAACCTTGTTATCATCACCACCCGACAAATGATCCACCTACACTTTTTCCGCTACGAATCCTGCTCCGGAGGAAAAGAATGATTGGCGTGTTGAATTGAAGGATTTTGATATGTTGAGGGCTCATGCTGATGTTGGGTTTTTTTTCCGTCGCCATCAGGTCCGTTACGCTGCTCAGGATATCCCGGCCGCTAAGAGCGCCCGCGCTCGCGGCTCTTACCTCCGTGTCAGCTTCAAGAACACCCGTGAGACCGCTCAGGCCATCAACGGCATGAAGTTGCAGCGTGCCCTTACCTTCCTCACCAACGTTACCGAGAAGGCTGAGGCCGTCCCTATGCGCCGGTACGCTGGCAGCACCGGCCGCTGCGCTCAGGGTGAGTGCCAAATTCATTTTTCCCTACATGCGACGAATTCCGGAAGCGGACACGATGAAAGAGTTGGAAGGCGATTCGAGGGCTAGATCGTGGACGAGAAGGACAATTGTGTACACCGTGGATGCCAATGGAGATTATTGGGAAATGCAACGGTTCTGAAGATGGAGAAAACTGACAGTCTTCGTTCTCCAGGCAAGCAGTGGGGTGTCAGCAAGGCTCGCTGGCCCGTCAAGTCCGCCGAGTTCCTCCTCGATCTCCTGAAGAACGCTGAGGCCAACGCCGACACCAAGGGTCTCGACACCGGCAACCTCGTTGTCAAGCACATCCAGGTCAACCAGGCTCCCAAGGGCCGCAGACGCACCTACCGTGCTCACGGTCGTGTATGTTGAACCCACGCATTCGTTCCCTTCTCCCACAGTCACTCGCGACTGACTTTTTCTCGATTAGATCAACCCTTACATGACCAACCCCTGTCACATCGAGCTTATCCTTACTGAGGGTGAGGAGGTCGTTCAGAAGGGTCCCGTTGCCGAGCGTGAGGTCCGCCTCAGCTCTCGCCAGCGTGGCGCTCAGATCCGCCGTGCTCTCATTGAGGCATAAGCGGTTCATGGGTGTCGGGGGAAGTGAAGTGGTCAGAATCTGAATGGGAATGCCGGAGTTTCGCTGTTGTACGGAAACCTATACCTGGTCACGGAAGGAATACAAAAGAAATTATTACTTTTTTGACAAATGGAAAAAATTCGAAACCAACGGGCGAGACCATCTATCCGTGTCACATCTGAGACAGTTTGATCTCCACCTACCCCCCATCGGTTCTTTTCCTACGAATTTTGCTTCGACCGCCTTTCCGTGGCCGGTGAAGGTAGAACGGGAGTCGCAGATTCTCTGATACCACAGGCCTGGGTGGGTGGCCTGGGTCGACACGGCTAGTTCGGACATTCTCACAATTCAGAAACACTTTGAGCGCTGCTTTTCATGAATGGGCTACGGAATTTATTGTTTCATGAAGTAAAAGTCGGATGTGCCTCGAATGACTTTTCAAGTAGTTGTAATGTAGATTATTGTTATCATGTTCATTCAGATCGACTGCAGACGTCCAAAAAGACTTCCAACTGCGCCACGGCACCCTCCGATCTACAAACGATGCCTAGATCCATCATCCTTGAACCCCAGGCCCTCGCGGACAGCCGGAGACCGTTTGGATGCCTGCGTGACAGGCCAAGAGTGGCTGTGCTCCCCGACCCAGTGATTGTCGTCCTTCTCAGCCCAATGCGATCACCCGACAACCGGTCGACTTGCATACCCCATGACGACAGGAAGCAGAGCATATAACAACATCTCGGCTTGCATACGTAGTCGAGCCCGGTTGGTTGCGCCGGTGAAGCTCATGCGCAAGACCGTCTGTGGTTGCAAGCAGGCACCACTATTTGCTGATGGGTCCCTCGGGGATAGTTCTATCGGGTCCCCAGGTCTTGGTCAATCCGCGCAAGACCATGCTTGCGTGTCGCCGACAAAGCGTCCTTGCCACTGCAGCAGCAGATTTGGCAGTTTGATGGGATCATCATCATACATATATCTCTTCAAGCGGGGAAAGTTTAGTCTTTGGCGGAGATTTTGGTGGAAAGTAACTAATACGAACTGCCGCCCGCCGCCGTTCCGGACCGCTTAATTTGCTTACTTTGCTTTCTTTTTCCAACTCGGTTACTGCGGCGCCTACTAGTCAACTACTAAACTACGAAGCTACTACCTAAACTACAAACTCGACACTACTTTTTTTTGTCTCCCCCCTTTCCTCTTTGTTTGCTTCTTGTAATTGTTCTTATCCATAATCCTCTTCTTCTTCTTATCTTAAACCATACCATTCATATCCGCAGCCTTTGAGCTTGTACGGTGATCATGAAGCGCATCTTTAACTCTATCAGCAAGCGGACTAGTGAGTAGTTGTTCCCCAGTCGCGCGACCATGCCTACCTCGGTCACTGATGCCAGCCGTCTGACAGGTCCCACGCGCCCCAGCCTTGCAACAACTACAACTTATCCCGACGACTCGCCTGAGGGGATCATTCTGCGAGAAGTGGTTAGTTCCATCCCCTGGTTCTCTTTCAGAAGCGCAGTAAGCTGATACAATATCTTGCTTGTTCTTCAGACCGCATTCTGCGAAGAAGGTGCGAACAGTGTTGTACGTCTTTCTTTCCCCGCGTCTCTCGATCGCGACATCGTAACGCTCGCGTTTCCCCACCTGCCACTGAAGCACTCATACCATGTGTCCAGGGGAATGAGTACGTCCATCTGCCGGGCATCGTCGAAAACGCCGAATCGAGCCCCAACGCAGCTCGCGAAGCCGCATTGCTGATCCGCAAGATCCTGTCGGAACCTTCGAAGCAGCCCACTCATGTGCAGTACAATGCCATCATGCTAATCCGCATCCTCGCCGATAATCCGGGCCATACCTTCTCGCGCAACATCGACGCCAAGTTTGTTGCTACGATTAAGGACCTCTACAAACAGGGCAGGGACCACCGCGTTCACGGCTTTCTGAGAGAGACCTTGGATGCGTTGGAGTTGCAGCGATCGTGGGATGAAGATCTCAAGCTTCTCTTGCAGATGTGGAGCGCCGAGAAGGCTAAGAACAATAGCAGCCGGCCGAACGGACTACGTGTAAGTATATGTGCCAATCGCGGTTTGTGGCTATATGATTGCTGACGGAAGCAACGGCGGTAGGCCAGCCGGAGTTCATCGCAAGTGCGGGCGCCTCTACTGAGTCAGAACCACTTTGCTCCTCCAAGACAGCAGAACACGCTCCCACAGCCTGAAGAGCTTGCTGAGCGGATTTCCGAAGCAAAGACTTCAGCGAAATTGCTCACGCAGTTTGTCCAATCCACCCCTCTTACAGAGTTGCTCGAGAATGATCTCATCACTGAATTCTCCGACCGATGTCGCACGGCGTCTCGCATTATTCAGAACTATATCCATGCGACGAATCCAGCGCCCGATGAGGATACGTTGTTGACACTGATTCAAACCAATGACGAACTCACCGTGGCTCTATCGAACCATCAGCATGCCCTGCTTCGGGCGCGTAGATCGCAGGGCCCAAGCGGTAGCCAGTCTCCGGCAACATCATCCAACGATGAGACTGCAGCGTCTGGTGCTGTGCAACCACACGCAGCACCTCCAGTGCCACCCAGAGAGCCGCAACGTACTTTCTTGCCATCTTCTGCCTCGGAACCGGTGATGCCGGGTCCTTCGGGGTCATCCAGCAACAACGGCGGTTGGAACGACCAGCGGTCGGGAGGTAGCGAGGACCAAGACCCGTTCGCAGATCGCCACACCACTACCACCGCCGGCCCTTCAACGTATGGTGAGCCGAGGTTGGACGGGCCGAGCAGCGACTGGTGGAAGGAAGCACAACAGCGGCCAGGCCAGCATTCTTAACGCCGCCCCCCCTTCCCTTTATTTCCTTGTATGTTTTTTATGATGTAGCGATCCCTCGACATGATACCTCTCTGCAGAACAGTGTTATATTGAGCCTACTATTCTTATCGTCTGTTCTATTATTCTACTATTGACATGTTGTGGGTCGTATTACGCTGGGCGTGAACCTGACTGGAGCAGCCGCCATGGACTGGAACCTGGCTCGGATATTGCAATGCTCGTCCCGAATAGATGAACCAGCTGCATCCCAAACCTCGGTCTGGGCAGGGGTGGAAATGCTTGATGGACCTTCCCTGGCTAACGGCGGTCTTAGCTCGAACCGGAAGCGCCATCCGCCGTCATCGGGCTGGAAAAAATCCCTGTCAAGATAACGGGGACTCGGAGAGGGGGAGGCAAAGCAAGGCCAGGAAATTTAGGAGTGCCCGCTAGAGAGACGAGCGTGTAGCATGAAAATCGATGTCTGGCTGGGCAAGGCGCGGAATTAATGTAGGTGAAACCCTAACTGTGCCAAGCATCCCGAGCTCACTGCTAATAAGACGCAGCTCCACCGCTGTTTCACACCCATCTACGTGAAACCGCACGGCGCTTGGGACCATACCGATCTGGTACGTGCGACCGCTGCATGCCTCTCGGTCTATGGCCACTGATGTGCCTCGATTAGTGACCTGTCAGTCTATCGTGCCATGTCCCGGTGGAGAGGCACCCTGTCATTATTTCTTCAAGGGTTTAGAGGGTTCTGTCTAGACGCAAGAACCGTTTCACGGCCGACCTCCGAATGAAGCTGCTCCAGTTGGTCCAGGCACCGCTTTCTTGGTATATAGGATGGCGAGCCTCGCTGTTTCTGCTCGAGAACTTTTCATCTTTCTCACTACACGCAGGCTTGTCTGTTCACTTCGTCCTTCTCTTCGACATTCTTTTTTCTCCTTCCGGTCTGTGACCATCTCATTCTTTAAACCTTCCACTCTTTGAAACAACCGGTATACTGGTATACCCAAGTCCTTCACTACATTCTTTCTACCTACCAAATCAACTTCGATCAAAATGAAGCAAACCGGCTCTATCCTCGCCCTTGCTGGACTTGTGTCCATGGCCAACGCCCACGGTTTCGTGACCAGCCCCCAGCCCCGTATGCCCGGATCTGCTATGGAGAAGGCTTGCGGTCAGCAGGTGTATAACAACCAGGAGGCCGACAACTACGGCAACATCCAGGGTGAATTGCAGATCGCCAGCGGCCAGAGCGACTACGACGCCGAGGCTTGCGACATCTGGCTCTGCAAGGGTTACAAGTACGCCGACAACACGGCCAATGTCCAGTCCTACAAGCCCGGTGAGGTTATCGACTTCACCGTCGACATCCGCGCTCCTCACACCGGTACTGCCAATGTCTCCGTTGTCGACACTGCTACAAACACCTTGCTCAGCCAGCCCCTGATCTACTGGAGCGTGTACGCCTCCACCGCTACTGGTGTGACCGCCAACGAGACCAGCTTCAGCGTCACCATGCCCACTGACCTCGGTGACAAGTGTAACGAGGCCGGTGCTTGTGTTCTTCAGTGGTGGTGGGATGCCCGCTCCATTGACCAGACCTATGAGTCCTGCGTTGATTTCACCCTGAGCGGTTCTTCTTCTTCCTCTTCTTCCTCTTCTTCTTCTTCCTCCTCTTCCTCCGCTGCTGGGGCTGTTGCCACCAGCGCTGCTTCCAGCTCTACTTCCAGCGCTGCTGAGACCACCACTGCTGCCAGCGCCGCCGTCACCTCCCCCGCGGCTGCCAACAACATTGCTCCCGTTTCCTCCTCCGGCCCCACCACCCTGGCCACCAGCGTGAAGCAGACTGCTACTGCCGCTGCTGTCTCCAGCTCCACCGCCACCAGCGTCTCCCTGCCCACCGACGGTACTGCCGAGGAGCAGCTCACCTGGGTTGCCAGCGTCTTCAAGGCCCTCCTCAACTACGCTAACTAGATTGAGAGTGGAGATGAGGTGGAAGTACGTTGCTCTGAACCGGCATGTGTTAGGATAGAGGTAGATCGCAACTAGATTGCCTGCCTTTTATTAGATCTTCTTTGTTAAGATTAGTCACTTCAAAATCTGATCCATTTTCTCCAGACAGCCATGAAACAGTTCTGATAAGTAGCATATAGCTTTCATCCACAGCAAGTATTGATTGGTCTGGACGACCAAGTGGTATAGGTCTATAGCCATCGCCTAGCGATCATCAAGTCTGCTTCCAAGTAGTATGCCCAGGCCTCTCAAGCTTTCCAAGCCCATGCCCCTGATTCCGCCACTGAAACAAGTCTAAGTCGCTTAAGCCTCTTACTCAGATTAGACAATCCTGGCCACTGGGAAAGATTCTGACAAAGACATATTGTCCCACCATGAGCATGGAGAGAGTCGCGGTATGGAGACCCAGGTCCTGGCCGCCCGTATACTCACGCATGCTCCGTGAAGGGGACCGCGTGTACGTGCCAGATGAAATCAACACACTCCCCCCACCTTACCCCGCCACAGATATTCACTTGAGAGCTTCTACATACTGGTATTCTGGGTGAATCCGAGTGAATATAGACACGCCTGAAGAGTGAATGATGTGAGAAACTGACTCACAACTCTCTTGCTTGGGTATTTATCTCACCTCTCTCATACCTGTTTATCTTCCCTCTCCTTCTCCCTCTCCCTCTCGTTCAACCTCCCTCTTTCTCCTCGTTCTCCAGCTCGTCGACTACGGCTATCTGTTGAGGATCTCGTGTTGGTACTCGATACAGATACACCGCGTCTTTGACACGTCCAGCCAGGACTGTGGTTCATCTTTCAAACCCACCAACCAAAGCCTCGTTCAACCCCTCACAGAAACCACGTCTCGAAAAGAAAAACAAGTAAGCTGACACCTCTGTGGCTTCACCTTCCCTCCCAGCTCAACACCATACTAATCCACAAAGCAGAATGACTACACCACAGCAGCCAGCCCAGCCTCCCCAGGGCAATCCACCCCCCCGCCACCCTTCCCTCCGTCCTCGACCTTTGGCTTCTCGGCGCGATGCCAGCCAGCAGACCAGCCCTGATCATGCACCGTAAGTGAGCCACTTACTTTTGTTTGAGTTCTCGCTGATACGGAACGAGCAACAGCGCTTCGAAGAGAGCCCGTCCTAACACCCCGGCTAACGCGAGCGGCCGCGCGAATATGAGCGGTCAGCGTGTTGCTAATACCGGGGTTGGTGCGAATGGCCAGGCGGGCGGCGGGAGACAGCAGGCTGGTGTTGGTCAGACTGGTGTTAATCAGGGTGTTGCTCAGGCTGGTGTTCATCAGGCTGGTGTTAAACAGGAGAATGTCAACCAGCCGACTGCCAACCCAGCGAGTGCCGCCCAGGCGAATGCTAACCACGCGAATGTCAGCTGGGCGAATGTTAACCAGGCACATGCCAGCCACGCCGATGCTAATCACGCGAATGCTAACCACGCGGGTGCCGCCCAGCCAGGTATCAACCAGGCCGGTGGAGCTGGAGCCAACCCGGCGAATTTCATCCACCCCGATCTCTACCATATATTCCAGGCGTCCGCCGAGAAATACAGCCGTTGCAACATTGCGATCTTCCGCGTTGGCCCGAGCCCCGTCAAGTTCCACGTGGACATCGACCACCTCCTCGTGCGCAGCCCCAACTTCCATCGATTCTGCATGGTCGAGTGCGCCGAGCGCAGCGAGCAGCACAAGCCCCGCCTCATCCACCTCCCCGACGTCTGCCCGACCACCTTCAGCCACTTCCTCAAATGGATGGGCAACAGCGATCCGTTCGGCGGCCGCCCCCTGCCCGACCTCGCGCCCTTCCTCAGCCTCTGGCGCTTCTCGGAGCGGTTCCAGTGCTTCCTGCTGCAGTCCGACCTGCTGGCGTACCTGCACCGCTGGCTGGGCAAGCACCGCGGCCTCTTCGGGGTCTCCGTCATCCGGCTCGTCTACACCATGTTCGAACGCGACTCGCACATGCGCAAGATGGTCGTCGAGGTCAACGCGTGGCGCTCGGGGCTGGCGGACTTCCAGAGCTCCAAGGCCGACGTCCCGCGCGAGTACGTCGAGGATCTGGCCGAGGCGCTGTTGTCCGTCCGCAGAACTGACCCGCTCACTGGATTGCCCGGGGACTTCGTTGCGCGCTACATGCCGACGGAGGAGGAGAAAGTGGATTCGGATTCGGAGTAGTGGCTGACGTTACGGGTCCTGTGGGTTTCTCCGCTCTTGTGGCTGTTGCTGATGAGGTTGGTGGTGAGTTCGGTTTGCTTGCTTCAGGATGGTAGTTTTCGGTGGTAAGATTGGGTGCGCAGCTTATGAGTTGAACCTCACTTCTTCAGATTGTTTCCCACATTGCTACTTTGTGCGATTCCGTGAGATTGCCTTGTTCTTCGGGATATGGATGAAAACTGGACTCCAATAACCTTAAAAAGTTGTGTTGACTCGGGGGATTGACTTTTCTGTACTTAGCCTGTGATAATGCGGAGCCAAATTGAATTGATATCAGCCTTTGTACTGCATAGTCGAACGTAGAGCAGATACATCTCATGGTAACAAGTGCTATCACCATCGAGGCAAAGATAGGCGAAGTGTTGTTGAGATTCACTTCTACACTTCCCAATCGGGAAGATGCACTGCCCCTGACGGCTGACTCAGGGTCTGCATCCACTAGCCCGAATGGGATAAGTGTCCATGTCTGATAAGAAGATCAAGCCGATTGATAACTTTCTCCTCCTTCCTTCTCCTCCTCCTCCTCCTCCACAACCCCCATGACCCCGTTTCTCAACCACAACCACTGAAGAAATGGAGGAAACGCATCGACACGGCGCCTCGGTGCCACTCACTCATCTCCCTCCTCACTCCCACATCTCTCACGATACCTCAATTGCCTACAATGCCGCCACGACCACCGCCCTGGAGCCATCCGCGCCGCACCGCCGCATCAGCATCGGCAGCGACGAGGAAAGCCAGCCGCCCCCGCGCTACACGCTGGAGAACGACCCGTTCCAACTGGCCTCGAAATTGAAAACCCCCGAGGAGATCGAACAGATCCAACCGCAAGCCAACACGGCCCGCAAGCGCGATTCCGTCCAACAACGGCCCTCCTGCCTGCCCTCGACCAAGATCGGCGGCGGCGGCGTGCAGCGGGCGCTGGCCTCGCGGCAACTGCAGGGGTTCTACCAGACGCAGAACGAGAACATCGAGCGGATGCTCAAGCCGGTGGAGGAGCACGTGCGGGCGGCGCGCGAGACGAACAGCAGCAACCAGCTGAAGTACCGGATCGCGGTGTACGGCAGCTTCGCGGCGAACGTGATCCTGTGCGTGCTGCAGCTGTACGGGGCGATCTCGTCGGCGTCGCTGTCGCTGTTCACGACGATGGCGGACGCCATCTTCGACCCCATGTCCAACCTGACGCTGCTGCTGTCCAACAAGGCCGTCAACCGCGTCGACGCCCGCAAGTTCCCCGCCGGCAAGGCCCGCATCGAGACCGCCGGCAACATCTGCTTCTGCTTCCTCATGTCCGCCGTCTCCTTCATCCTGATTGCCTTCTCCGTGCGCGAGCTCGCCGAGGGCTCGGAAAGTGAGACCGGCTCCTTCCACCTGCCCTCGGTCGTCGCCGTCATCGTCGCCTTCTGCACCAAGTTCGCCCTCTTCCTGTACTGCTTCGCCCTCAAGGACCAGTACTCGCAGGTCCGCATCCTGTGGGAGGACCACCGCAACGACCTGTTCATCAACGGCTTCGGCATCCTCACCTCCGTCGGCGGCAGCAAGCTGCGCTGGTGGATCGATCCCGCCGGCGCGATTCTGCTGTCCGTGCTCGTGTCCGCGCTGTGGCTGCATACCGCCTACCACGAGTTCCAGCTCCTGATCGGCGTCACGGCCGATACCAAGATGCAGCAGCTGATCACGTATATTTGTGAGTCCTTCCCCTTGTCTTCCCCCTTGCTCTGATTTTCGTGTCTATCGGACACCTTTACTTTTTTTTTTTTTTTTTTCGCTGGAATCATTCGCTAATCTATGGGTTTCCGGAACAAAGCAATGACCCACTCCCCCCTCATCATCGCCATCGACACCGTCCGCGCCTACACCTCCGGCCCCCGCCTGGTCGTCGAGGTCGACATCGTCATGGACCCCGACGACTCCCTGCGCGCCACCCACGACGTCGCCGAGGAGCTGCAGACCAAACTCGAGTCCCTGCCGGACGTGGAGCGCGCCTACGTCCACGTCGACTACGAAACCACGCACAAGCCGGAGCATTTCCTGAAGAAGGAGCTTTAGGTTGCGTACCTACTGTCACGGAGGTGATCGGAATGGAATATACGCGGCTAATCGCGCACGTCCCATTGATAGCATAGGCGGATTGGTGCATTGGCACGAGGCTACACCAGGTGTCGCTGGTGGTATATTGTATATGTGGTGTCTACTGCTACATCTCTTCTGATAAGAAAATAGCTTAATATAGAATACGATCTAAATACGAACTCGACTTATCCAGTGAGCGAGGAGCATTTCAGAAAACCCAGAAAAACTCCAAGGTTCCACCCAAAAATAATAAAAAAAAAAAAAAAAAAAAAAAAAAAAAAACCCCCAAACTAAAACATGAAAGCCACTTTTTAAG